CATTTTTCACAGTTATGTCCATTGCAGCATCCCCATGGTCATGTGATCAAAATTCAGATGCTTGGCAATTGGTTCATATTTATGATGGTTTTGTGTCCCAGAGTCATGTGATCACCTTTTATGATCTTCTGAGAAGCCAGATTCATTTAATGACAAGGTTACTAACTTATCAATTGCAGTGATTCACTTAATAACAGTGGCAAGAAAGGTTGTAAAATGGAGCAAAACTCACTTAACAAATGTCTTACTTAATTACATAAAGTTTGGGCTCAACTGTAGTTGTAAGTCGAGGACTACCTGCATTTCAAACGTCCTGTATGGCAGTGTAGCTGAAAGTAGCCATTCTGAACTATTTTGAGATATAGCTCTGCCAAAAAAAAAAAAAAAAAAGCTTTCCATGTTTCTTTACATATCCTTTGCAAGAGATAGACTTTGAAATCATTTTTCATCTCCTTTCAAATAAAGGGATGGGCTTTTTTATATCTATCCAAGATGCAAACCAGCAGAGGGAAGAGTTTATGTCTCCCAACTTCACATTTTCAGACTTTGAAAGCACAGAAAGACTACAGATTAATTGATAATGAACTATTTGCTATATGATTTCATTTACATTTTGCCCTTTGAGTCAAGGGACTTGCTCAGTACATGATAACTAGTAAAACTAAACAAAAAACCTGTCAGAATCCAATTATATTTCATCTCTAGTTATCAATTATAGAAAACCCCATTTCTGCCTTCTATGGATTCTGTCATACGATGAATGGAAGGGGGTGAACAAAGGGGCTTTATGTAATGTAAGGTGGGTTTAGAGTCTGTGTAATGTAATGTAATGTATTGTAATGTAAGGTATTTGTAATGTCGTCCAAATGTCGTCTCTCAAAGTTAAAATAAAGTTATTGTTGACTCCAACTGGATTTTGAGAGTCTTTGATATTGCATGATGGACAGACTTGAGCACTACAGGCAATCTACATAGATGGGTTCCTTTATGGAAAACCTTTAGCCTCTTAAATTATATGTTAAATCTTATTTGTTCAGCCTTCTTTTTGGCTTGTTTTGATATGGGTAGAGGTTTCGTAAAATCCCATTTAGTGAAAGAAGTTATCCTTATGACCAAAATTAATCTGAGATGTTAGTGCATGTATTTTTTACCACCTCTTCTATGAAAATGTACTGCATGTGCTGGTAAACTTATACCACCTCCAAACAGAGATCAAATTTTCAGTGAAGGAGAAGAGATTTATTTCCTTCTTTCTGACTGGAACCTTCTATGAGAAACAGAGTTGCCAACATTACTAACATCTATGAACCTAACAAGGCTTAAGGTGTCCTTTAATTCTTTTATCTTAATTTTATTTTTCCTCTTTTATTTTCTTTGTTTTATTTCATTCTCTTTTCTTCTTATACATAATTTTAATTGGCAGTTATAAATAGTGGCTTTATTGCTTATTTGAGCTAGCTTTCATGGGTTATTTTAGTGTTATACCTACTTTGCTGGTCATTGACTGCAAATAAATAAAACAGCTATATTAGTTGCAAAGTTTATCAATTTTTAAAACAGTGAAATATTCATAAACATTGAATAGAAATAAGCATCCTATTAGTAAAGGAAGATATAAACATGTAAAATAATAATAAAACATTTGATCTATATTCATTTTCCTGTGTTATCAAGTGTCACAATAAAAGTCCAAATCCTAATGACAGTTTTCTATCTTGATAAACCACTATCCAGCTCACAACAGTAATCAATATGTTGAAAATGGCTGATGTTAATGATGCAGAAAATAGTAAAACAGGTTTGCTTTCGACTTATCATTAAACTAATACAATGATCATATATGCATGAGGTGACCAAGCTGTCACTGAATTCCTATACTATACATTTCATTAAGGGCATCATCTGACTAATGGAGAGTTTCTTTATTGACTTTATGGTGAAATGATACAGTCACTAAGGAAGTGTACAAAGAAAATTACTTTTCCAGATGTCATGTTTCTGACAGTCAGGGTCATGCAAAATTTAAACCAAGAATAAAAGATAGTAAGGAAATAAAATATTAAAGAGCATTTAAGAGGTCAAATTGTACATGTAGTCCTTGAATTACAGCCACAATTGACCCCAAATTTTTGTTAAGTGACAGAATTGTTAAGTGAATTTTGCCCCATTTTATGAACTTTCTTGCCATAGTTGTTAAGTGAGTCACTGCAGTTAAGTTAGTAACATGGCTGTTAAGTGAATCTGGCTTCCTCATTGCTTGTCAAAAAGTTGCAAAAGATGATCACATGACCCCAAGACATTGCAACTGTCATGAACCAATTGTCAAGCATCCAAATTTTGATCACATGACCATGGGAATGCTGCAGTGGTCGTAAGTGTAAAAAATGGTTCTAAGTCACTTTTTTCACTGCCATTGTAACTTCAAACAGTCACTAAACAAATGGTTGCAAGTAGAATTACCTGTATATGTGACATCTTATTTTCTTATAAAACAAACTCAATGAGTTTTTAAATTTCAATTTGTAAAATGGCTCAAAGTTATCAACTGTGCTTTTCATGCTAAAGAACAAGGAGTTTCCATGGAGATTTAACTATTCCTTTCCAGAATGAAGGATTCTTTGGGACTAAACCTCAGTATTGAATGCCAAATATTATTGTTTGCCTCATCCCTGGGCTTTATTTTGTTTTATGACATATTAAATCAATACATTCCACATCATCTATGCCAAAACAAAGCTCAGAGGTGCATACTGCTTGAACAGCTACAGACTCCTGGAAGCTCTAGTTATTGAAAGAGTTTGATGTGAATGGAGAGGTTACATCAACAGCATGCTAAAGAGAGAATATGAGGAATGCAAATCTTGTTCAGTGCAGTTTAACACATCTTGTTTATGCTTTCTTGAAGGGGTGAACACCATCTCGACCTATTTGCTAGAATTAACCATGATCTAGGAGGCCATATGGATTTGCCAGATGGCCTGATGTAATTTAATGGCATTTATTCTAACTATGAAGTAAGTGATAAACATAATTAACATTCCTGTAGCTCCTTACTGGATGTCTTTTATTAGTTTCATTTTTTTTCAAATATTGAAAGGTAAGTTAATACCTTGTTACAGAAACACAGATGCCTGCTAATTACCTCAGAAGGTTGAATGCTTCTGAAGCAGAGATCCTCTGCTAGATTCTTACTTACCTCATGACCCCCACTGTGAAGATTAATAGGCAAAGCACTACATTATAATGAGTGTGTCAGATCTCAAATATTTTTCAGGTTCTTTTAATTAATATTAAGAGATACAGAGTATGCCCACAACAATTCCAATATATCTGTCTTACTTTGCCATAAATAAGGTATCTTGCACCATGTGTGCTGCCTGCTTTATTCCAAGCTGTAGTACATCAAATGGTTGAAATCAAACAATCAGATTTTGATAAGAAAAAAAAGCCCTACAAAGGAATAACTCTCATTATTTGAATGGTTTATCTTTTTCATCTTCTGCCAATGATTGTTTAATGACTTTATTTCACAGGAAGCTAATTTGTGATAACTATAACTTCAAAGAATGTTTATCTTTGGTGAACTTACCTGCTGCTAGCAGTTAAAATCACATGATTACAGCAAGATAACAAAAGAATGTTAAACAGCTTAATTGTGCTACACTTCCTATTTTATATGTACAATATAGAAGATACTTCAAATTTCATTTGTGAAATGCAGAATTTATTTTGAACAGAGTGTTCAAATGTCTGCACTATAATATGAATTTCCAAAGAAGAGTTATCCTAGTATTTTCAAGATGTTAGGTATCTTAAGAGATGTGAAAATATTCTAATAATCCCATAGTAAATCAAGGGACCCATCAGAACCACAGTTTATTGGGTGAAATGGAAATTATCAAAATGAATTGTCAAGATTTAATTTAACAGCCAATATAAACTATTAAATAAAAAGAGCATATTAGTTTAGCTGCAATGGGATTTCACATTAGCGAATGGAAAACAATATTGGATACTGATCCCCTTCCACCTTAGTGCAGCAATTTTTGGGAGACCTTCCCAGGTAAAGATTAGTGGAGGGTAAGGCTGGTAAACAGATGGAATGGGAGATCTAATGATTGGCTGCCCTTCTCTTAGAGCAGGGGTAGGCAACCTTGGCTCTTTTATGACTCGTGGACTTCAACTCCCAGAATTCCTGAGCTAGTATCTCCTTCCTTGAAATAAAGATTCCAAGACCTCCTAATGCTTCTTTGATGTTATCCAAAGAACTTTAGAATATCCTAAATTACATCCTGATATTCTACTCTAGCTCTATTTATACATTAAATTGTATGGATTACTTTACTTGTATGCATGATATTTCCATTCTTGTTACCTCTTTTTTTAATCCCTCTTGCTTAACAAAACCAATGCTTTCAAATTTAGAAGCTCACCAGAGTTAAAAATTCAAAACATTTTATGATATTTTGATACTTTCTAACAAATGTATTACATGGATTAAATTTGGATGGATATTTTATTTTCCCGGACAGATCCATATATGTTTTTCTTCCTATTTTTCCCTCAAAGAAAGTATTGATGGGGTTTAAAAAGGGTGGGAAAAGGCATCATCTATTCTCTCAAGCAGCGCAATTGATAAACAACTCTTTACAATAAATAGAGATTGTTTCTGGTTAAGCGAATACAGGATTACAGTCTAAAAGCAAGGTATTTTTCTTTTTTCAAGTTGACGATAATATGGAACCTTTCAGTAGTATAATAGAAACAATACTTCCCAAAGCAGCTGAGACAAATGCAGGTAATTTATATTTCAATCATATTTAAACTGTGATTAGACTGTAAATTTTGCAAGTATTTTTGAGACACACTGCCAAAGCATTTGGGAAATGGAGCCACATAGCTCAGTGGCTTTGAGTCATGTGTCAGAAAATCTAATAAGAGAATTTTGTTTTGTTGAGTAAGACCTCATATCAGACAAAAAAGAAGAAGTTTTCTGGTACCTCCTGCATACATAACAGCCAACATGATTGATGAGATCCACGCTATCTCGCTATATGATGTGCCAAAGATTTCTTGTATCTCTTTGAAGAACACTGTGATGGCTTTAGGGAATGCATAGGAAAATCCAATGGAGATGAAAGCTCCAAAGACCACGATCCAACCCCATCCTCCATCAGGGGGAGCATATTGCGATGCTGTTGTTGAAGGTGGCATTTCTTTTTTTTTCTTGTCACTATGCTGTAGGGAGAAATAAAATGTTGATATAGTGTTTTAAACAGCTGTTTTCCTCTATAGCACAGTCACTGGAAATTAAATATATTACTAATTCAAAAAGCTGCTACTTCTCAACATACGAACTGACAATTCGTTGTTAAGTTGCCATCACTGGATGATTAAGTACAACTACTTGTCTATAACACCCAAGGATGCCTTTAAGAGTGGGAGTAAATGAATCTTGGCAACTGCTAAAATCCTTGTTAAATAAGATGTGATTTTTGCATGTCATTGATCTACAATACAAAAATATTATTTGACAATTAATCACAAATGATAAAGGGATCCTTTTATTCTGCTAGTACCAATCTGATTATTTCTGGCAAAGTAAGATTGGCTTATTCAATAGGAGTTTCTAGTCTATATGTGATATGTGTCTACCATCTCAGCCACTGCTTTGTGTTTCATTTTAAAAATATCTTTATTTCAAAGATAAGGATCAGATACAGCTGAAACATTATTGCATTAGGAGACTATGCAATATCAATTGATACAAATTTCCAAATGTACTTATTGAGCCATTAATAAATTTCTATGTTATTGCATTATTATGTGCGATCCAGGGCAGTGTTTCAATATATTAAATAAAAAATAATGCCATCAAGAGCCATGCAAAGCCTGGTTTTATATATCACACTTTGGGGATGTGCAATGCTTTCTATTTGAAATAAGATAAGTGATTTGGAATGCACATTGCAATGTACTTTGCATCTGTCAGAAAGCCCAAAGCGGATCTAGAGAGCACATAATGATATGAAACTCAAACTGTTGCAGTTTGCAACCATAGTCAATGACTTACAAACTGAGCATAATGACAAGTTTAACAAAGGAAGGAAGGCTAAACAAAGCATAGCTTATTTTGCTATTTGTGAGCCATATTGCTAAATTCTTATGAAATGAGAGTACATTTACATGTTGCTTTCATAATGTAACAAATCTCTTGGGAAAAATCAATACACAGAGATTTTCTATTCAGGCAAGAGTTCATAACCAGGTTTTTTTTTTTTTTTTGGAAATCCCCATGACTTGTAGAAGCATGTTACCTCATAATTATTTAAAATACAAAGTAATTTACAAAATCATTAAATCTGAAGAATCTTGTCTCCACTGTTCTGTTTTTGCATATCAGTAATATGCAAGTTACTTAATAAATATGTGGTTTTAATACAAGGTGCCATTTAGACTAGGTGAGGATATCACAAAAATATCTGCTGGTTTCTGTGATGCCTACATAACATATGCACAAAATGTTTTAGATTTTTGTCATGAAATGTGATTTTTTTTCACAGCAATTCGTTAAGTCTTTTGATCAGTGCCACCCTGAATTCATTTGGCTTTTATTAATCAGATCTACTACTTCAACTTGCCTTGTGAATCTGTAAAGCCAACAGCAGTCAAATAATGATAAACACTTTTGAAATTGGATGTACGTATTTTAATTTGGATACCAAATTCTCCATTTTGTACCTATGTATTACAAATTATTGTTACTGATTTTGGGCTTTCAGGATTGACTGCCTGAAACAAGGAGACAAGAATTAGGAAGAGTAGCAACAGGAGTTTCATAATTCCATTATATAAAATATACTTCTTTTGATTCCAGAACTAGAATATAACAGTTGCTCAACTATTTCTTGACATACACAAGTTTAGCAATTTTACAATAAGGGATATATTTGAAAAGAGAAAAAAAGGTCAAAAAATGGAAAAGTCCAATAAATATATTTATGTTTCCAATAAAATAAATAGGTATTATATCATCTCCTTTAGATACGTATAGTACTGAAGGGTGCTAGTAGTACTGAATAATATAATATGGCCAGAAGTACTATTAATATTACTGTGTATATTATAACAGTACAACATCAATATCAAAACTTATTTTTCTCAATTATAAATATGTGAACAATTTTTTATTGAATCACTGCCATTTATATCTGTGAATTCTCACAGACAAGCTAAATTGAAGAAGGCTATGCATAAGGGGTAATTCACTTCCATGGAGATTCAAGTGAAACACCCACTAAACTGCTTGGTAAAGCAAAGTGCGTTCTCATTTCTGAGAGTGATGCAAACTTGTTACTTTGAATTATTCTCCTTTGTATTCTTCTTATCCTTCTGCTCCAGAGCTAGTCATAGGGGTTCCAGGCCGGCCATCTTAGGCAAACACTGGGGGAATCTCTGCTGCCTGCACAAAACTGGCCAACATTCTATACACCAAAATTTTCTACACACTTGCGGGCAGGATAACTTCTGTGCTGTCCTGAAGGTTGAATGGAGCCATCTCACACACTAAGGGCACAAAGTGGTTGAAGAAGACCCAATTTGGTTAGTGGAGGTACATTGTGTTACTTCTTTGTTTTAAGCAAAGCAAATCATACCACTTTTATGGCATTGAAGCAATTTTGAATGTCTTTGAATATAACCATCCACATTTTAATACTGCTTTTAAACACTTTTCTTCTGTCACCAGCACTTAATGTAGAATGTGTCTCCTAATGATGGCACTCTGCTTGTGAAATATCTACCTAGAAATTGGTTTCTGGTGCCTTGTGTCCTCTTTTCAGTACCAGGTATGAAGCTTTTAATATCTCTAGGACAGTGTTTCTCAACCTTGACAATTTTAAGGCATGTGGACTTCAACTCCCAGAATTCCACAGCCAGCATTGCTGGTTGTGGAATTCTGGGAGTTGAAGTCCACATGCCTTAAAATTGTCAAGGTTGAGAAACACTGCTCTAGGATCTTAAATTGTAAAAAAATTATTTGATTTTTAGATCTAGCACATTTGTTTTGCTCTGCAGTTTAGGCAACTGTTTGACGGGGGTGGGTGGGTGGATTGGTTTAAAAATATTGACTAACGAACTCCATGAAACTAAACAAAAAATTAAGAGTTAAATTGTTAGGAATATCTGAGTTTAGAAAATAAATGCATTTTTTGTGGATTATAAAATCACAACCATATGGAATGTTTTACTTGGAGTGATAAACTTTGAAACTAAAAATTAATATATTCCCCTCAAATCTTGACCATATAAAACATTCATTAGAAGTATCTATAATCTAGCATCGAATATTCCAGGATTTGTGGAATGAGGCAAAGACAGATGTAAATACACAGCACAGAAACCTTCGGTATTCCCCCTATTTCCAATCACTAAATTAACATATTAATACATTTATACATAGTACTTTCAAATATCAAGATGACTTAATCATCTTAAGAAATTGTGACTTTAAAAAACAACAAGCACTCTTCTTTTAAGTAAAGCCATTTTTATTTACACAGGGGAGCAAAAGCTATCATTAGAGAATACAAAAGATGAAGACCATCCTAATTTTTTGAGAATGTCAGAAGAACTCCCTCGAAGTTTTACAAATTACATCTGTATTTAATTCCTCTGATTCTGGAAGCAGATTATAGCCATATGATATGTTTATTTTATTTATTTATCAAATATATATGGCTACCCATCTCATTTATATGCAAGCCTGATCACCCTTAACTATAGCTCCTAATAGCAATAGCCAGCACAGCCAATAAGAAGGCACTCTGGCAGCTGTAGTGACACAGCCAATGGATCGTGGGGCTCTGCACCCCACAGCTGATTTTGCCCTGCCAGGGGACCCTAAATGGAGAGCTGACAAAGAAGGAGGGGCACCCTGAAGATCAGGGAACAATGGCAGTCAATCTGCTTGTTCCAGGGGAAGCCCTCCAACCTGACAGGAGAAAGGCTAGCTGCACATCAGTGTCTAGCCCAAGCTACCAGCAGCCAAAGTCCAAATAATAATAACGGTGAACAGCATGCTTGAAACCTCACCCAGTTTCTATCAATTTTCTCTCTTATATTTTGTAACTAATTTCCTGGAAAAGATCCCCAAAGCAAGATACCTCCGAAAATGAGGGAGGGGACTAAATCCCCACCCTCTGTAGATGGAAGTGATGAATTAACTTCTAAGGGGGAAAGAAATATATTGAAATGAAATTAATATCACTATAGTCTGGATAAATCTGAAAATTAAGAAAACCATTAAGATTTTACACCTTAAAGAGTTTTGATGAAATTAATAATAATAATAATAATAATAATAATTTATTTGTTTGAAAAAGTTGAAAAATAAATAACTACTGACATCTAGTGGAGAATCAGAGCATAGAACAACAGCAACCCTGACTCAGAAATTGGCAAGACACCCAGAAACAAAGAATAATCTGTTCCCTTGAACTTTAATAACCTTCAACCAAATAGAAAACAGCTGGGAACAAAGAAAGAAAACATACTGGGCCATCTATAAGCTTAAAAAATGTCTGCAGAAAAAGAAAACTTTAACTGTTGTCTAAGCTCAAGAATTGTTTGTAGAAAAAGAAAAACTTGACTAATTCTTGACTAATCTTCTAGGTGGGAATTTACTAGAAGGCTTCAAGGTGGTTAAACGTTCTGGACTGCAACTCTGACTAATTGATCCCTGAATAGAAGAATTGTTATAAAATACTGCTTTCACTGATGCCTTGACAATTGGAAATGCATTGGATTACAAAAATCATATATAAAGATAAGAACTATATATGATTTGGTTCTTTGGATTTTGAGATTGGCTGGTTTGATAAGGCTAATTACAGAGACTATGGTACTGGTGAAAGATTATATTTGGAGGGAGGAGACAAAATGGATATTGCATATTTATCTAAAAGGGACAGAAAACCACACCTAATATTCCCTTCTGAAAGATCTAGCCTGGAACATCAGAGATCTGCAGGAGTAATACTCCAAGACAAGTACTTTTCAGAAGGAAATGTATGCAGTGCTGTGACAGATTCAAATTACAATAGTTTCAAACCATGATGAGATCAAAAACAACTTTGATGACATAAATGAGCACATCTTCAATCTAAATTTACAATTAAAAAACTCTCAGAAAACGACAATAAAGAATGAACAAACAAATCAGATAACAGAACATAAAC